TTGAGCCACAGGCGCCGAGCCTGATGGACAGAACTTAAAAGCAATATTAATGCTAAAAATTTTTGAAATCTTCAGATGGAATTTTTTATTAAAAGAGCAGCTTTAAGATAATACACTGGCATTCAGGAAGAAAATACTAGAACTCGATTTGACTACTCTCAACCTTTAAAACACCTATCTTAGGCTTGGAGCCAGTAGCACAGTGGTTATGTGCCGGTCACATACAGTGACGGGTGGGTTTGAACCCGTCCCAAGCCAGCTAAACAACGACAACTGCAACCAAACATAGCTGGGTGTTGTGGCGCCTGTAATCCCAGCTATTTGGGAGGGTGAGGAAAGAGAATTGCTTAGGAAGGAATACAGAAGAAGTGGTTGGTCTGATTTGTTTTTTTTTTTCCAGTTTTTTTTTGGCCAGGGCCAGGTTTGAACGCGCCACCTCCAGTATATGGGGCTGGCGCCCTACTCCTTTGAGCCACAGGCGCCCCCCTGGTCTGATTTTTTTTTTTTTTTTTTTAAGAGACAAGGTCTGCTCTGCTGCCCAGGCTGGAGAGTACAGTGGCGTGATCAGACCTCAACCTGTTAGACTCAAACTGCTGGGCTCAACCAATCTTTCTGCCTCAGCTTCCCCAGTAGCCAGGACTACAAGTGCCTGCCACCACACCTCAATAGTACTTTTTATTGTTTTTCCCAAGTTCATCTTGAACTCCAGGGTTGAAGTGATCCTTCCACCTTAGCCAAAGTGCTGAGATTACAGGCATAAACCATTGCCTCATGCCTGATTTTTAAATTTCAGAGAGAAGCGATATAATATATGTCATGATTTTACATAACCTGGCTCTTTATACAGCTTACCAAGATCATGACAAAGCCCAGCAATCTGAACACAGAGGATATCTCGTTCAGTTATCTGCAGCTCTGGTTGTTTTTCATATAGTGCACGAACTAGACATCCTGCTAGATACCCTACCCTGCAGAGCAAAAACACAAAATGTCACACTTCCATTTGAAAGATAAGTGAAATTTCTGATCCTTAAGAACTTCAGTATTTTTTCTCAAATATTCTAATATTTCTAGGGCAATTTTACAGAACAGTCTATTTCAGAACAAGACAGTCACATGTACAAACAGAATCCCAGAAGCAGGAATTTGGCTCAATATCATCAATAATTAGGGAAATATGAATCAAAAGCACAATGCAATAACACTTCACATCCATTAGGATGATTATTATCAAAAAACAAATAAACACTGACCTTCCCTCCAGAAAATAACAAGCATTGACCAGGATGTGGAGAAACTGGAACCCTTGTATACTGCTAACAGGAATGAATAATGGTGCAGCTGCTATGAAAAACAGTGTAATGGGCTCGGTGCCTTAGCACTCAAGTGGCTAAGGCACCAGCCACATACATCTGAGCTGGTGGGTTCAAATCCAGCCCGGCATGCCAAACAACAATGATGGCTGCAACCAAAAATAGCTGGGCGTTGTGGCAGGTGCCTGTAGTCCCAGCTACTTGGGAGGTGGAGGCAGGATACTCCCTTGAGCCCAGGAGTTGGAGGTTGCTGTGAGCTGTGATGCCATAGCACTCTGCCGAGGGCAACAACTTGAGGCTCTGTCTCAAAAAAAAAAAAAAGAAAGAAAAAGAAAAACAGTGTAATGGTTCCACAAAAAATTAAAAATGAAAGTATCATAATGATCTAGCCATTCCACTTCCGGGTACATACCAAAAGAACTGAAAGTAGGATTCTAAAGAGATATTTGTACATTTATGTTCATAGCAATGCTATTCACAGTAGCCTAGAGATGAAAGCAACCTAAGTATTCATCAACAAATTAAAACGTGATGCATACAATAAATTATTATTCAGCCTTAAAAAGGAAAGAAAATTAGACACGTTACACACTATATGAGCCTAGATGACATTATGCTAAGTGAAATAAGCTAGTTAAAAAAAAAAAAAAAACACTGTATGATTTCACTAAGACGAGGTACTCAGAGTAATCAAATTCATAGAAACAGAAAGTGGAATGGGAGTTCCAAAGGACTGCAGGGAGGAGAAAACGGAAAGTTGTTGTTTAATAGGCATATATAACTTCAGTTTTGCAAAATGAAAACAGTCCTGGCTAGTGGCTGCACAGTAATGTGAATGTATTTAACACTACTTAACTGTACACTTACAAATTGTTAAGATGGTAAATAGTACGTTCTATGTTTTTTACAATTTAAAAAAAGCCAAGAATCTCTGGCTTTGTCATATTTACTACACAGATTGGTGAAGATAAAGTATGGAACAAATATTAAATGTACTTTTAGCACTTCCTTCTGAGGCTAATTCCTAAGTGCTGTGGTCCCTAATCCCCAATAAACCGGTGAAGCTGCATCTGTATTTCCTATGGCAGCCCAGGCTGCCCATTACTTGCTCACATCATCCTCTGAGCTCCACCTCCTGTCAAATCCCACCCCCTCTTCCCCTCCACTCTGGAAAAACTGTCTTCCATGAAACCACCTTCCTGGTGCCAAAAAGGTTGGGATCACTGCCTAAATGAATATATCTTTCTTTTCCCCTAAAATCTAAGCTCTGTGAAGGTAACTACAGACAATTGCTATCTTGTTCACAGTTTGGTACAGCCTTAAATTAATATTTGTTGATAAATGAATGACATATCAGTATAGCTCCATGTGTTTTGTCTAATTAAAAATGCTGGGCTTGGTGGCTCACACCTGTAATCCTAGCACTCTGGGAGGTCAAGGCAGGCAGATTGCCTGAGCTCGGGAGTTTGAGACCAGCCTGAGCAAGACACAGTCTCTAAAAATAGCCAGGCATAGGGCGGCACCTGTGGCTCAAGTAGTAGGGCATCGGCCCCGTATGCCAGTCACGTATACCAGGGGTGGCGGGTTCAAGCCCAGCCCTGGCCAAAACTGCAACAATAACAAAAAATAGCCAGGCGTCATGGTGAGTGCCTGTAGTTCCAAACTACTCTGGAGGCTGAAGCAAGAGTATAGCTTGAGCCCAAGAGTTCGAGGTTGCTGTTGATCTATGATGCCATGATACTCTACTGCGGGTAAAAAAGTGAGAACCTGTCTCAAAAAAGAAAAAAAATGCTTTTCAGTAAACCAAAAAAAGTAATACACTATGAATACTTCATGAAAATCTAAAAAACTATAATTAGTTCTTCCCTGTCCATATCCTCTGGGCTTCACATTTTATAACAGAAAAACAGACCAAAGTCTCAGCTTGGTTTTATTTTAACAGAGGCATCACTTTCTCTAAGATTATAAATACTCCTGACTTACATAGGTTTCACAAGACAATTCTTTGAAAGACTAGAGACTATAGGAAAACTAAATGATCAAATTTACAAAGTTAGTTATATCAGTAACCAACCCTAATAACTTTTAAATAACATTTAAACAAAGATATCTATTCAACCGACCTGTCTGTACACATCTTCATTATCTTTTCAGGAAAGGTCTGAGGTGGTTTATGAATATACATAAATAATATGTAGCAAGGTAAATCAAAAATCTACATTTTCTCATCAATTAAATAAGGAAATTACCATCATTGTAAAATTATTCTCTGAAAGATTAAGACAAGATGTAAAGGTATCACTGTTTCGTTTATGATTAAAATTAAAAAGATTAAGACAAGATAATTATTTCATGAGACAGAAGAGGTACTTAATAACTGCAGGTTCCCCACTCTGATCCCTTCTTACCCAAGACTGTGCTCAAATCGATTGTGTGAAGCTCCTGGAAAAACATAGTAACCGCCTCCCAACTGTTTAATGTATCGAAGCCGCTGAAACTGAGGTGTATCAATGATTCGGATAAGGAGAGGGTGGAGCTCAATGTGGCCATGGATAGGATCATTAATTACCTAGAAAATTACACTCAAATTAATATGTACTTACATTAATAAGTAACTCCATCAAAACCTTTTATGCAGTCATTCCTAATCACAGTGCAAAGTCAGAGCTATTTATTCAAGTAAGAATACTACTAAGGGGCTTGGCGCCTGTGGCTCAAGTGGCTAAGGCGCCAGCCACATACACCTAAGGTGGCGGGTTCGAATCCAGCACGGGCCCACCAAAGCTGCAACCAAAAAAATAGCCGGGCACTGTGGCGGGCGCCTGTGGTCCCAGCCACTTGGGAGGCTGAGACAGGAGACTCGCTTGAG